ATTGTTACATTAAAACTTCTTTTCCTACTTTAGGTGGAATTTTTTCTCTAAACTTATATGGGACCATCTCTAAAGTATCATTTATTTATTAAAAAAAGAATCATTAAAATCAGTTCACAATCGACGATCGGTTCTAAATGTGTTGCACAGGCAATTGGTAGCGTGCACCGTGTTACTGGCTCGTATATCCTCTTACAAGTTACAGTACAACCATGCGTAGAAGCAAATTATGTGCGATTTCATTTGGAATTTTTTCAAAGTTTCTCATTAAATCGGGTTTATTATTTTTATTTACGTTTGAAGTAAGACGTCATAAAAAGCTCACACTAATGAAAAATTTACAATTGATTTTCATTGAACCTAATTTAATTTACCTTTAACTATCTATCCTGAGAACTAGCAAGAAAGCGATACTTCTTTCAAAGTAAGTAATATAAAATGAAACATAGGATGTACAAATTACTCACAAAATTAATTTAAGGAGCAGCTTAGAAGCGATTACCTCATTCCCAGGTGTTATTATCAACCATAAATATATATATTATATTAACTCTTTTTACACAGTTTTTCTTTTGTAAAATAATTAACTTTGGTAATAGAGAGACCTTGTTTAATATCAGGGACTTGGTTGAAAAATGTGATATTGCCCCATGAATAAATTACTCACTCTGTAGAGTCGAGTAACTAACTACATATCATTAACTTGTGTTGTTCCTAGTGTTTACAGAATATAATATAGCACTTTTTTATTAAAACTACTTATGTTTTTGTAAACATACATGAAAATTTCATAAATATACAGGAAGGCCGAAGTTAATCTATTTATTTAGTAAACATTTTCTCTAAGACTCTTTCGGTTTAATGTCATAAATGAATATCTTTTGCAAAACAAAAATATTTTTTAAATCAGTCGCATTTTCTCGTAGCAAAATTCGATCAGACATTATCCTGTAAAATAAATGAAGTAGGTGTCTCGGCACGATATATGGAACTCCTGATCCGATTTTGAAAATATACTTTACTTTTAGAAAGGTACACAATTTCCGAGCTATGTTTTATTGTGATTAAAATTAATTTTCAGACTAAATTCAGCATATTTTTTCTAACAATTGAGTCTTTCTAAAAGTTGAGAAAAGGATTAATTGGCTGCTTTATCGGCTTACGCTGACAAAACGGTTTAAAGAAACACAATGAATTGCAAAGTAACCTTAGTTTACATAAAATATTTACAAATCAAATAGTTGCTTTCGTAATGTTGCGTTCATAATGTTTCGAGAACACTCGAAATATTTTTATCAGAATTTTACGTATAAAGTTATAGATAATTATATATATTATATATAAAGCTAGGGTGTTTTTATAATTTTACTAGCTGGCCAGGCAGACGTTGTTCTGCCCTTTCCGATGACCCTTCCTATGAAAAAATTCTTAAATTCGCAATAAAAAAATATTGAAGGTCACTTATCTGGATAAAACGTATCCTATCTCTCAAGTTGGACCAAACTGCACACAGTGTGCAAAATTTCATTGAAATCAGTACAATAGTTTAGGAGTTCATCGCGGACAAACAATGTGACACGTAATTTTTATATATAAAGATTAAAAGTTATTTGTTTTTTTTTTATAGGAGACTACTTTTTTAGAGATAGCTAACGAGCATGCGGCTCACCTGATGGTAAGTGACTACCACCACCCATGAACAACCGCAACACCAGGGGAACCAGGGGAATTGCAGATGCGTTGCCAGCCTTTTAAGGAACCTTTTAAAAAGGAGTAGGTTCTTTTCTTGAAGGTCCCTAAGTCGTATCGGTCCGGAAAAATCGCTGGTGGTAAACTATTCCACAAGGAAGTTGTGCGAGGAAAAGGAAAACATCTTCTAAATCGCACAGTGATGGACTGCCAATCATCCAGATGGTGTGGATGGTATCGGGAGTTCTGCCGCGATGTGCGTTCGTGAAATTTGGCGGCTGGGATTAATCCGAAAAATTCCTCAGAGCACTCCTCGTGGTAAATTCGAAAGCAAATGCAAAGAGATGCAACATCTTCGCAGCGCCAATGAATCTAACCGATCGGAAAGGACTCGGTCGTCGACGATTCGAGCCGCTCTGCGCTTGATGCGGTCAGGTGGAAGAAGCTGGCACTGGGGAGCCCCAGCCCAGAGATGGGAACAGTATTTCATGTGAGACCGAACCTGCGCCTTGTAAAGTTGCTCTGCTGAGTACGCCAAGCTTTTTAGCGGTAAACCCGCAAACTTGTGTCTTCTGAGGATTGCAGTGGACTTTGTTCAGAAAAGACTCGACTTCAGACACAAGTTTGTCCCGGTACTCGGCGACGTTTTCCCGAGAAATATTGGCACGGTCGGTGTATAAGGCATCACCAGTGCTGTCGCCTGCATAGCAATGAATGTTACCAGCTTGCAACATAATATCATTGATATGCAAAAGAAACAGCGTTGGCGATAGCACGTAGCTTTGTGGAACACTAGCGTTAATAGACTTGTAATCAAAGCATGCACCGTCAACTACGACCTTGATGCTCCGATCTGCAAGAAAGCTGGTGATCCAATTGCACAATTTCTCGGGAAGCCCATAGGAAGGGAGCTTCAAAAGAAGTGCTTTGTGCCAAACCCGATCGAAGGCCTTCGCAATGTCCAAACTAACGGCCAATGCCTCCCCCTTGGACTCTACTGCCTCCGCCCATCTATGAGTCAAGTATACCAGAAGATCACCAGCTGATTGACCCCGACGAAAACCGTATTGGCGGTCACTAATTAGCTGGTGATCCTTAAGGTACCGCATGAGGTGGCAGTTTATAACGGATTCCATTATTTTGGAGAACAAGGGGGTGATGGCGATAGGCCTGTAGTTGGATGGGTCTGAGCGGTCGCTTTTTTTAGGAATCGGGTGAACAAAAGCTGTCTTCCGTGATTTCGGGACTACGCCTAGGGAGTAGGAGTAGCGGAAAAGACGCGTTAGAACCGGTGCCAACTCCAGAGCACACGTCCTCAGCACAATTGGGAGGATTCCGTCAGGCCCACTCGACTTATGGATGTCCAGGGAGAGGAGTGCTTTGTGAACCGATCGCTGTGAGAACCGCACATCCGGCATGGAGCACTCACCTTTTAAAAAGGTGTAGGTTCTTTTCTTGAAGGTCCCTAAGTCGTATCGGTCCGGAAAAATCGCTGGTGGTAAACTATTCCACAAGGAAGTTGTGCGAGGAAGAAAACATCTTCTAAATCGCACAGTGGAGGACCGCCAATCATCCAGATGGTGTGGATGGTATCGGGAGTTCTGCCGCGATGTGCGTTCGTGAAATTTGGCGGCTGGTATTAATCCGAACAATTCCTCAGAGCACTCCCCATGGTAAATGTGAAATAAAACGCAAAGAGATGCAACATCTCTTCGCAGTGCCAATGAGTCGAGCCGATCGGAAAGGACTCGGTCGTCGACGATTCGAGCCGCTCTGCGCTGGATGCGGTCAAGTGGAAGGAGCTGGCACTGGGGAGCCCAAGCCCAAAGATGGGAATAGTATTCCATGTGAGGCTGAACCTGCGCCTTGTAAAGTTGCAGGCGTTGTGCCGGCTTGAAATACTGTCCCGCTCTGCTGAGCACGCCAAGCTTTTTAGAGGCCAATTTGACCTTCTCTTCCAAGTGATCACAAAACTGCACATAACTCGATATGTTGACGCCGAGGATTCCGATACTGGCTGAGGCAACAAGGGGAGTGCCTGGAAACTACTGAGGAGATACGACAAAGGGGTTCTTTTTAGCGGTGAACGCGCAAACTTGTGTCTTCTGAGGATTAAACTGGACTAGATTTAGTCGCCCCCAATCCGAGACTTTGTTCAGCAAAGACTCGACTTCAGACACAAGTTTGTTCCGGTACTCGGCGAAGTTAGTCGAAAATTATAAAAAAAGAAACTATTGTGATATTTATGAAGTGAATAATAATATAAATGAAATTTTATCTTGCGATTGTAAGTAATAAAGGATTAATTTAAAAACATAAAAGTAGTGGGGATGAAATACTACTGTATGACTCAGATCTACTTAGTACTACTCAGATCTACTAATAGAATCAGGCGTTACTTTGCGGAAATCCAAAAAATTTACTTCGCAAATATCCGCGTTATAAAATAAAATGATGTGTCTTACCTAGTATGAAGAGCACCTCCCGCCCTCCCTCAGTTGCGTGCACTATCCCCGTCACCACTAATCCCAGCACCGCTACTCCCAACACCACTACACTAGGCAAGACACACCACTGACGATAATACGACACGTGTTTTGCCTCTACACGAGGCATCCTCAGGTGATATAGACTCTACGGTGGCTAACCGCTAAGTGACTTAAGTGACTTAAGTGAGTTAAGTGACTTAGCGGTTAGCCAAGTAAATTTTTGTAAAAGCTTTTAAATTGATGCAAGGCGAGCGCTACAGTCTACACGTTGGTCAAGTTCTAAAGAAACCAATGTCAACTGCCAATGTTCACGAGTTTTTGTGGAACTATTTATATGTTGGCCGTAATTACGTTTTCATTGAGAATTGGAACAATATGGACGACCTAGAAGTTATTGCACCTTCTGCTATTTATTTAATGAGTGAATATAATTATTATGTCAGTATTATCGCAGTAGATGGAAAAAACTTAAAGATGTCCTCGTTAGTAGAGAGTGACATTGTCGAGATTATTTTGAAGTTGCAACTTAATTAAAACATAACATCTAACCGGGACGGACACCAAGCTGTAACTGATATGGTCGACTAACATGCGGACGCGACTTGCCGAGTGCAGGCGAGCGCCTTTGATTTGTGCAGAAAACCCGACATTGCCAAACGACCCGTACATATATCGGTGCACGCCTGCACTCGGCCGGCTAGACGAGCGTCGACGAGCAATGGCGAGTTTAGACAAATGGGCTGTCTTTACGTTGGTACTCGCTTTCACTCGGCCAACATGTGCTATAGCCGGCTTAACTATCACAATCGCAATTTTACTTACGGCCGGTATAGCTGTAGAGGCCAGCTGGCGATGAGCGAGGTCTGTAGCCCGACGCAGTGGACGAAGTGGACAACGTGGAGGGAGACCGTTTCAGCCCTGCCGACCTCGCTTCTGCTCCTGCGGCACCCGACGGCCTCCGGGTTCGCGGTTGTCGCTTCGACCCAGTCCTGCATACACCTGATACCATTGTAACATTTAATCTTAAGAAGAGTATAAGTATGGCCTAAAATGGATGTTCGTCCATGTGCAACGCAATCAGTGTGAAACAGAAACAGATTTTTTTAATTTAATGTACATTATTAATAATACTTATTGAAAGTCACTTTTATGTTTAATTACTACTGGTTCGGAAAAAACCTCTGTCCAGGGAAAAACCAGCAAGAAACCCAGCGGGACTTTTTTTAATAATAGCTTACAATCATATATGTTACAAAATTAACAACACAAGAAACACATTAGAAATAGCTTCGTAGCGATTACCTCATTCCCAAAGGTTGTTACCATCCATAAATTCCTTAATATTATAATAAACCTTTTCATACAAACTTAGTTTAATGAAGTTTTTGAACTTCGAGCAGGTCAAATTTTGTATGTTTTCAGGGATTTTGTTGTAATATACGCTTATACATCGCCCCAAGAATGAATTACTGCCTCGGTGGAGTCGAGCAACTGGTACTACTAACTTGTGTCTGTTCCTAGTATTTACAGAATGAATATCACTTATTTTTGTAAAACTACTTTTATTTTTATGTACGTACATTATATTTTTATAAATGTATTGAAAGGCCAAAGTTAATATATTAGTTTCCTTAAATTTTTGTCGGAGCGACTCCGAAACTAGGGAATACTAAATCGACTGGAGTCAAAAGGATCCAAATCTACAGTGACCGAGGAAAGGTTCAAATGATTATAGCTGTTATACTTATCAAGAGATTATTTTATTTATACGTTATTAGTCTTAGATGAAATAAAGTAATTGAATTTTCCGCGGGATTTGTGTGTAACGTATCTACGTAACTTGCGAATCGGAGGATGTCGAGTAACCCCGTCTCTTTACTATACACCGCGCGGATGATAGGATACGATAACTGATACACCGCGTCACATCTCTAGTCAGTTTTTTCCGATCATCAATGGGGGGTAGATACACTATGTCTTGAGAAGTTTGAATGTGGAAGTGACACGATAATCGGAGAGAATTTTGTAGCAAATAGTAGCATATAAGTTTATAGTTTTGTAGCATATATGGCCGGGTCCAAATTTAATCATCTTGATCAGGTGTACTGTATGGAGTACTTGTATCCTAATCCTAAGTATAGACTCCCATTTCAAACATATCGTATTACTAGGGGTATTTCTCTCTTTGGTAGCTACCTTAGAAACAGAAAACAGTCGGTAAAAATTGGAACAACTGTAAGTAAAACTGTAACTGTCAACTATGGAGTCCCCCAAGGAAGTGTGATGGACTCTGTTTTTGATATACATTAATGAACTGTGTAATATGAAACTTTATAATGGGCAGATTTTTTCCTATGCAGATGACACAGCTATTGTATTTACAGGAGATACATGGGACTCTGTAAGGAAAACAGCAGAATTAGGTCTTGCTAGGATGGTGAATTGGCTCAATCAGAATCTACTCACTTTGAATATATCCAAAACTAAATATATTTGCTTTACCATGTACAACAGCACTCAACCTACACCTGATTTTCAAATTAAAATTCACGAATGCTCTGTCGTCCAAAGCTCTAGTTGTAACTGCTCTCAAATAAATAAAGTCTCAAATATAAAGTATCTAGGAGTAATGGTTGACCAAAGACTGTCTTGGTATTCACACCTAGAATTAATGGCAACTCGGCTCAGGAAACTTATTTGGATATTTAAGTCACTACGACATGTCTCCACGAAGTCCTTACTTAATAAAATATACATAGCTCTGGTTCAGTCAACGGTAGGCTACTGTATTCCTATATGGGGTGGTGCAGCAAAAACCAGGTTCCTTGAGCTTGAAAGAGCTCAACGGTGCTTAATTAAAGTTATGTTCTTAAAGCCCTATAGATTCCCTACAACTGAACTCTATGAATTGAGTAATTTACTTTCGGTAAGAAAACTTTACATTTTAGCAACCGTTTTAAAACTTCATAGTTCCCTAAAATATCAACCGTCATCAACGACTAGACGTAGAAAATATACAGTACCCTACGAAGATTCATTTAAGACTACGTTTGCATCAAGACAGTATACAAGACTTTCAATTTACTTATATAATAAAATAAACCAAAAAATCAATATTTATCCTATGAATTACCATGACTGTAAAGAAACCGTAGCAGACTGGTTAAGAAAACTTACTTATGAAGAAACTGAATCCCTTCTAGAAAACAGTGCCTTATAAATTTTCACACTTACAGACTTCTCACAGTCATCCATACACACACACACACACACACACACACACACACACACACACACACACACACACACACACACACACACACACACACACACACACACACACACACACACACACACACACACACACACACACACACACACCACACACACACACAATCACACACACACAATCACACACACATAATCACGCACACAATCACACACACACAATCACACACACACACACACAATCACACACACACACAATCACACACACACACACAATCACACACACACAACCATATCGTAGCATGTCAGTATATCGGCATAACGTTCTGAATATGTGGACTCTAGAACAAATAAACGAGAAACAACGCCCGCAGACATGGTTTAAATAGTTAGGAAAAAGCTCTGCTATGTGTTTGCTTAGGGACTTTATCTTAGATGAAAAGAGATAAAACATATTAGACTTGTTCTCGTTAAATGCACTCACATTCGGATATACACAAGTATTCTAGTATCCGAACCGTATACGATTGAATTGAAAAACACAAGGCCGGCAGCGCACCTGCAATTCTCCTGGTGTTGCAGTTGTTTATAAACGGCGTTAGTCACAATCACGTACCTACCATCAGAGAAACAATACAATCTTAATCGTTGGTTTAAATACAAATAAAATAAAAAATGCGTGAGTGTCGTGGAACACTCGGTTGGAACGAAGTTCCTTGCGTAGTATATCATTATTGATAAACGTAGGTATTATATTATTGATTAACAAATACAAATAAATGAATTACTAGCGTCTATTCAAATGAAGCGTCATTTGAAATAAAATAATATTTCTTTCATGGCAAGATATGAAAAAGTGCGACTGAGATGGATATTATTCTATCTCACTTCCTTATTTCGCCGCCAAGGCAGTCTACATGACAAGGGGTAGTGACGAAAAAATCTTACACTTTTTGTCGCCTAGCTCCCATCCGCCAAACCCGTGCCGTCCGATAAAGAACTTCGTTCCAATAAAAATTTGAAGACTCAATTAATAAGAAACAACGTGAACAATGTTACCGGTGGGACACTGCCGCCCCATGGCGCACTTGCCCTCACAGATTGTCTTCTGTTTGAGCATGTCTTGATAAGAGTCCAACATCACTCGGCATTCTGCTAGATCGCTGTCCGCTAGCGCTAATGACGGGTACCTCTCCTTTAGACGTCTTCTTTCCTATAATAACAGATTTTTGCGATAACATTAATTTGATGTCTGTGCTGAGCAATGTTTAAAAACACTTTTTAAAAATATGTTGACAATGTTTTCAATATTAGCAACTCTATTAGTTACTAATTTTCTCTTTAATTACTCCAACTATAGTGAATGTCAGTATTACAAGCTTAAACTGGCAGGAAAAAAGGATAACAGATAAAAAACCAAGAGGCTTTTAAAAAAGAATGAGAAAATATTCTAGAGCAATGACCTCGTACAAATATTTTTCTGTGTCGTCGTCGATCTTTGCTGCAACATCTCCTTTCACTTGGCTCCATATTAATTTCAAGTCTAACCCTACATATTTAATGATATGGAGCAAATACATCACTAAGCTTATAAACTGAAAAACCTTGTGCTACGAGCGGTTTACGACACTAGTGTAATGGCGGATACGAACTCAAATTAATCAATATAACAATACTCTCACAAATTGCCACGGAGGGTGAATAGTCCGAATAGCATGAGATGTGTCATCTGTATACACATAAAGCTCGGCGGGTAAAGGTAGACCTTGCTCTAAAACCTTAAAAATGAGAATGAGAAGACCTGTGCTTAGCAGCGGGAGATATTTTATAACACTATACATTTGTTGGACTAATATTTTATTTAACATTCACGATACGAATCAATTTATGTATGTAATTTCAAATAGTTTGCGTAGCCGCTGTTCCGACGGAATCACGGCTGATGTATGAATGACTACTTACAAAATAATATGGTATTTTAAACAGACAGAACATGAATAACATTTGCAGATACAATGTTAGATACCTCAACTAGTTTATAAGTTTCAAAATCCTGCAACTGACGCTGGAAGCCCATGTTAGGATTTGCCACTGCGCGTCCAGCTCTCACCACCTTCAAAGCTTCGCGCCACGTGAGAGGTGTCACCGACATAATGTATGCGACTGCCACGGTGACGCTTCGTGACATGCCTGCTAAGCTGTTGTGAAAATATTGGCCTTAGAATGTTAAAGTAATTGACATCTTATTAAAGTCTTATCTAGATTATAGGTAGAGATTACCTGGGTTAAGGTTGCAGAACATTAACCCATTCATTGTCCCATGAGCCACATATGGTACAATCCTATTGTCTTACTATTGTGTCTGGAAACCGGATAGTGAAGTGTTAAGTTCAGCTGTAGGTATTAGAATCGATTAGCGTGATGATTATGGAATGTCCTTCCTCAAATTGAAGAAATATTTTTTTTTTAATGTTCTAATTCTTCATCATCAGCCCTAAAAGTCCACTGCTAGACATGGACATCTCCGTTGTATGAAGGATATGCCTTAATCATCATGCAGACGGCTCGCAACAGCTCGCAATTTTGCCGCTGCTACCCTTCACCGGTCTGGATATACGAGTACCTACTTATTTAGTATTTCTTATACTAACGCGGATAACACGCGTCAAATATAATTAATTATTAATACTCGTACCGGTAGACGAAGTGGAGGGCGTCCCCCCACTAGATAAAGTGATAACCTAGTAATACATGCAGGCAAGTTGATGGAGGCTTTCCTTGGGGGAGGTCAATGTTCAGCAGTGGACTTGTTAAGGGTGTAATGATTATGATAGTGTTTATGATACGTCGTAGAGCCATGCTGCAGCTATATTATGGTTGTAGCACGAATGGGTCGGCTCGAACGGGGAAAGACCACGCTCTCACAGAAAACCAGCGTAAAATAGCAGCTTAACGCTGCTGTGTTTCGTATGATGAGTGTAGAGAACCGGAGACCCTTTTTACTGGCAAAGAGGCATTCCATCTTAGTCCTCACGGGTGACAACGCATCTGCATTTAGATTTTTTATTGAGGATAGATGTAGATGTCTATGGGTCACAGTAACCACTTACCATCAGGTGGACTGTGTGCTCGTTTGTCACCCGATCCTATAAAAGAAAAATGATAGGTATCTCATGTTAAATTCACCCATAGTGATGATGCCACAAAGCAATCGAAACATCACGAAAATAAATTAAGATACAATTAATGCGAAAATTTTAAATTTGACTAATTTAAAATTTTCGCATTAATCACAACTATTTTTCAAGAACTTTAGATGTGTTAAGGAATTTTTTTACCATTGAACATTTAGTCTTAAATAATGAATATAAAAAGCATTATGTAACTTCGAATAATAAAAAAATACCAAATAAAAACGAGCATTACCAAAATGACACAGTTTGAGTAGGGGTTTTCCTTTAGTACTTTAGTACGTAAAAACATTAAAGTCACCGTCTACCGACCAAATAACAAATTTACGATTTAGGATTTATTGCCAGGATATCGTGAGTTCGATATAAACCTATGAATACTTTCCATACGATAAACACACCGATACTATAAATATGTAATATTTTATTACAAAGAAAATAATAAGAGGTTTGTGCTCAGCGGTGGGACCTACATATACTCGTATAAATTTTTTTTCATTCATTACAGCCCTTCACAAGTCCACTGCTGGACATAGGCCACCTGCATCCACAGTATATAGGCATGTATATTAGAGTGAAGTGAAAATGTATAGAGTAATAGCATAGTGGTAAAAACTGTACATATATATAGGCTATACTTTTTAACCGAATTTTACTTTATAACCGAAATTAAAGCTATGGTAATTTGAAAATTCAAAAAGTACATCACATAGAATTTCGGAAATTCCAGAGAAAGCCATTAAAGGTGGCCAGGTTTTTAAATCAAAATTTCCAAATATATGGAGGTAAAGTATATGTACTGTATGTCAGCCGACGGATTAGTATTTTAAAAAATGCTTAGAGAATTTATACTTGCTTATAAATACTCTAAGAAAAAATGCCTTAAAGCTAAAGAGAGTAGAGCGGCTTTAATAATGGTTTGAAAGTGCTGTGATTGACAGTTTTTGATTGCGACGATACGGTCGTAGTTCCATTTTCATATGGGACAAAATATTTGTAAGTACATAATATAATGTTCTGAGTCTGGGTAGTATCAATTTATCAACACTCAAACTTTGTAAATCGCTTTCACAATATACAGAAGAAATTTGAACAGTTTTGGTAAGGTTTTTACAAAACTGACTAAACATGTAATATATCAGTAATTATTTTAGTATTTCAAAAATGATCTAAGTTTAATTTTATTACTATTTTGTAAAATGTCTTCAAAGTTTTCACCGAAAATATTATGGCTGATAATAGTGTGAGGCGTGTAATGCAAATTATCTGTTTATTCTTAACTGATGTTATATAATTGATGATTATAACGACAATAAAGATGGATCAGGATGGCTACGAATTATTATTTTTTACTTATTATAGCCAGTGGTGGTAAGTGGCGATACAGCCTTAGATCGTAAATCACACTGTCTTAGCGTAACAAAAGCAAATAATCCAATTGAAGTTAAATTTTAAACATAATTTGAAACTGTGTACATATGACCAAATATAGCCGCAAATGGCTGAATATCGATAAAATAACTCGGTTTTTGTTAAATATTACTTAATGCGAATTGGCTGTGCTTCAATTGAATGCTGGTATTTAACTAATGGTACACCCATATAATTAACTGTTTGATTAAATCACGTAATAAAACTATTATAATCTTCTGTAAATTGCTATTTATGATAGTGTTTTTTTCGTTTAAATAAAATAACATGGAGTTGTTTTTGGCAAACAGCCATTTTCATTATTTGATTTCTAACTCAACGTCGGCGCAAACAAACCTTTGATGTTCATGGGATCTATAATAAAATCTAAAAGCAAACGAAAAGAACTAAGATCTCACATCTTTTAAGAACTCATATCTTTTGTAACATTTTGTGACTTAGTCATATTATTTATTTATAATTTTGTAATTTGTTTTTATAGAATAAGAACAAAAGCAACTGTGAAACTGTTCACACAGTTCATCAGATGGTAAGTGAATGTAATGACCCATGTCTATGAGCACATGAGCACCTATCCTCGATTAAGAATCAATATGCAGTTGCTTTGCTACCACTGAAGACTGAAATGGAATGCCTCGTTCGAACCCTGACCTGCGACGATTAACGATAACATAATACTAAATATTACTTTATTTCTTTTTAACAACCTGCACTTCGTTGGCTTTCACATAGATTATATTTATATTTTCTTTACACAAGCGTTTTACGATGGAGTATAAACTATTAAATTACTCTTTTATTGGTTTCACTGCAAAGATACAGGCAATGTTATTTGAATAACTAGGTAACGTTGCAACGTTACCTAGTTATTCATGGCATGACATTACAACGTGGTAGAGTCATGCTGCAGCGTGGTAGAGTCATGCTGCAGTTATATTAATTGTATATTTGTAGCACGAATGGATCGGTTCGATCTGGGAAGAACCACGCTCTCATAGAATACCAGCGTAAAATAGCAAATTAATGCTGCTGTGTTTCGTATGGTGATTGTAGATAATCGGAGACCCTTTTTACTGGAAAGGAGGCATTCCATCTTAGTTTTCACGGTTGAAAACGCATCTGCATTTTGATTCGCAAACGAGCATAGATGTAGATGTCTATGGACCACAGCACCCACTTACCATCAAGTGGACTGTGTGCTTGCTAGTCACTCTTATCCTATAAAAAATTATAAGTATAAGTACGTTAGTACTATCATTTATTCTGTGGTATAAGTATACAGAAACTTGCATGTTTATGACACAAACATTTTTCTAAGTTATGATTTTCACTGGGGCAACACGGCGAGTCCTAAAACCACCTCACAAATGAGAGGATTCTATCTCAAATTAAATGCGTACATCGCCCAGCACTGAGACTTACGCAGGTGGTTACAATAAAATAAGAAAAAAAAAAACTCACCAATGAATAAGTACATTGCCATCCCTGAGACGCGCCGCATGTATGAAGTCGTTGCACAAACTAAAGTATTGAGTGAGGTTCTGATCCGGGGAGTCCGATGCCATTATACACAGGTAGTGTTTGTCCTGTGAACACAGATGAATAAAAATTACTAACTTCTCTTTATTAATATCGGGTTACAATGTGGTTATAGTATCTTAATTAAAGCTTGTTCTTGGACATGTAATAGCGGCGTAATGCACTAACTCATACCATCCCGTCGGTGTCATAAGAAACGATAAAGGGAAATGAAAATGAAAGGAAAATGAGGATAGACAGCGGCATCTTTCTAATAAAGACTCAAAATATTAAAACATTGCGGTTGACAATACGCCTGCTAAGCTTCCGCTTGCAACTATTGCAAATCAATGAGGTTATACGAAGGAGGCTTATGTTCAACTGCGGACTTTTGATATGCTGTCGCTGTGTGGACATTTGATGAATATACAATGTATTAATGATTTAACACCTTTTTTAGGAGTACACAATTTTTTGACGAGTGCTGTTGGTAACCATAAATAGTGGTTGCCAACTTAATACAAGAGCCGCGGTTCCATGGTAGTTCAGCCTTTCGCAGTTTTTTTTTTTGTGATAAGTGATGGTTTACGTAACACGTGCTTGTTAGTGAATCAAAAACATCGTTAGAAAGTTTTTTTACGTATGTGAAATAAAAAAAATACTGAAGAACTTGTAAATTCTGAGTCTTTCCCACATTACAATCCTCTCAGAAATGAGAGAAGACTGGACACTGGCACAACCATATGAATAATATAAACAAAAAGTAAAGTTACAGTATATAGACCTATTACTGCTGGTCACAAGTTTCATCTCACTATGGGAGGTTTATGGAGTAAGTAGGCTGCCTGCTCCAGTGCGTGTTGGCGGACTTTACATGTCTTCGCAATATTATTCCTTCCTCAGACATGAAGGTTTCTTCACGCTGTATTCATTCACCACCGAGCATGTGGTAAATACATACTACTACTTGTGGACTAATGCAGTCCAATATTTGTTTTTTACATTACATAATCATTATAAGGTTAGTTACAGGGTTGCTATTTTTCATTTTTTTAGGTTTTTCAAGTTTAATAACATTTTTAAACTTGGCTGTCGTAAATAGTCTGAAAATTTTGAGCTTTATTTTGCGCCATCTGTCTGAGACCATGAAGTCTCTATAATATACTTTTACGACCAAGAGACGATTTTTAATTGGGGAAAAACTATTGTTATGAAAAAATATTAGGATTTTCTTTAATGTTCCGCAACGGTAAATTGGACGTAGAGAAAGTAGAATTCAAAAAGAGGAAAAAAGCTTTAATAAATATTTTTCCGTGCGGGTTTTCAACCTGCGGCCCCACAGCACTGCAACTAAACCATAGATATAATATTTCTATGAACTAAACGCTTAGCCACTGCGCAAACTAGATGTCAACTCACAAATGTAATTTAATAATTTTTATATAGTCACTAGCTTGACCCGGCAAACGTAGTTTTGCCATATACATTATTTCTAGAAAATATTATTTAGTTTTAAAAATCGCGATTAAAAACAGAGGTTTTATGTATTTTTAATAATAAATCATAATAAAATAAAAATAAAATTTTTTGTTTAAAATTAAAAGAAAATATTTAGGGGTGGGTTTGAAAAATAGATATTCGCCGATTCTCAAACCTACCCGATATGCATACAAAGTTTCATACAAATCGGGTCAGCTGTTTCGGAAGAGTTTGGTAACAAACACCGCGACACGAGAACTGTATATATTAGATAATATGCTTGTATATGTGCTTCATACAGCAAAGCTTTAATGGTAATAATATACCTTTTCCGTTATCGTTACAGCCACTAAAAAGTCGTAAAATTCCAGTGCTCTCCCACAGATTTCCAAATGGGGGATATAGTTGCCACGTTTGGTAGACGGGTTAGTAACCACAATTTTTATTTATTTTAGTTGTTCTTAGGGAGACGCCGCTGACCATCTCCTGATTTGTTTCTTTCTGTTGCCTCTTACGACAACCACAGGACGACGTAACCTTGTGTGGTTTTTACTAAACCGTGTGTGGTTTTTGCTGTAGGGCTAGAAAAATTTCACTTTGTGTACAGTTTGTTTCTTATATTTTGAATAAAAAAAACATAGAGTATATTCTTACATCGCTTACCGATCCGATATTACACTATACGTCATTAGTTACAATATAAGTATTGCGTTATAACTTACAACTATCAGCAAATTTTTAAATATAACTACACAACTACACAAATAAATTGAAGTGTCTGCAATGTCAAAATAACAGCTTTTTATTAAATGCATATGCAAGTATATATGGTAGGTTATAAATAATTTTTTAAATTTTTGTCTAGCTCTCTGTCTATTTGTTCTGACTAATCTACGAAACGGCTGGACCGACTTTGACGGGTATTAGTATTAAGTAACTTTGAGTAACTTTGGCTACTTTTATTTTAGAAAAAGAATTAGAGTTCCTCGCAAAAAATTGAATCCCATGAAATCCAATCGTAATAAGTTCCACGCGGACTAAGTCGTAGGGAACAGCTAGTTTTAAATATATATAACATTTTGTTATTAGTGGTTTTGCTATCATGTTAATTTTTTAACAATTGACTTGTTAAAACAGAGAAGTTCGTGTCAATTAACTTTTGTAAATCGATTAAAGTTACTGAGGTTTATAAAATATAAAGTACTGTAACTCAACAGAACTTAACTCACGCAAAATCACTTTGTGCTCAATTAAAATCGATTATTACGTATCGTGTGCAAGTATTATAGTTTGAAGTTGAATGTTGTTACTTTTTTTTTATAGGATAGCGGTGGAAAACGAGCACACAGTCCACCTGATGGTAAGTGGTTGCTGTGACCCATAGACATTTACATTTATCCTCGTTTGCGAATCAAAATGCAGATGCGTGACACCCGTGAGGACTAAGATGGAATGCCTCGTTTCCAGTAAAAAGGGTCTCCGGTTCTCTACACTCACCATACGAAACACAGCAGTGTCAAGCTGCCATTTTACGGTCGTATTCTGTGAGAGCGTGATTCTTCCCCGGTCCAGCCGACCCATTCGTGCTACGGCTATACTACTAATATAGCTGCAGCATGGCTCTACTACGTATAATAACTTGCTCCATTTACATCAAGATTTGGTACAGATCAATAACTTATGGTATATTAGTAGTGTAGTAAACTCACGCGGTGTAGTGGCGGTGTAAGAATATCCACTACACCGTCAATATCATCCCGCGGGTTGTTAAGAGGCGACAGAGGGAAACTACAACAGGATATGGGCAGCAGCATCTTCCTGATAACAACCAAAATAATAATCAAACTGCGATTGCCAACCTGACTACCGAGCCTGGCAACTATGGCAAAATCCTCCCTATATGGCAGTTTATGAGAGAGGTCTATGTTCAGCAGTGGATTTTTATAGGCTGTAATGACTGAATGGATGGTAGTAAAGTTACAGCCTATATACGTCCCACTGCTGGGCACAGGCCTCCTCTCATTACTGAGAGGGTTATAGTTATAGAGCAATGCTGGTTTTCTGACGATGTTTTCCTTTACCGCCGAGCAAGTGGTAAATCAGTACTTAAAATTGAAATTAACAATTTCAGTGGTGCCGACAGGAATCTAATCCGCATTGATTGCGTATTATGTAGTAACGGCGAGCACTAAACACCTCACCTACCACGGCTTTTAATAATTCACATATAAGGCGTATTAAGAGGACGGGGGAGGGGGAGGTAATAAAGAATCACAAAGATCTTTTTTTTTTCTTTTTAAAAAAAAGCGTTACCCCCGCACTAGGATTTTCTCCTATATCGTGGAGGCAGTTTACAAACACAAATTGCACAAGGACAAACATCCAGATCCGGAACAATTATTTGTAGGCCATACAAATAGTTCCGTGCGGGATTCGATCCCGCGGCCCCCAGCGCAGCAACTCATTGCTAAGCCACTGCGCCACGGACCCGTCATGATTACAGATTAATAAGAAACAAGCAGTCTTTGCAGCGTCTTCCTAATAATAAGAATATAAATATCTGCGATTGCCAACCTGACTACAGAGCGTGGCAACTATGGTAAATTTCAGCTTTAGAGGCAATATACAGGGCTATTTTGTAATAACCGACCAAATTTGCAGAGAAGGTTCAGAATAAGTAATATAGGCAAATGGTAAAGAAATTTAAATAAATCTCAAGCATTATGTCCTTTTTATCTTTTGAATTCGAAATGCGTGGTAATGCATTATTTTAACTGGTTTTACTGGGCACGCACCACGCACACGTTCGCAAGGGTCAATCGGTTGGCAAAAACGTTATGAATGGAATCTCACACAGGGGAGCGCTCGTACGCGTAGTTGTTGCTCATAGAAAAAACCGCATTATCGGTATATCATTATTTATATATTCGAACTTAAGTTTAAAATTTGGCTACTATTTGAAAAATAACCCTGTATAGGAAGGACTGTGTTTAGCTGTGGACTTCATAGGCTGTAATGAATAAATAAAGAATAAAGTGGTCGTGTGATGGTGGCGTAAGGAAGTCCATCACCACATTAATCACATGGTTGTTGTAAGACGTTGTATTCATTATGGCCATGGTCACGAGGGAGACTCAGGTGTTTGACGTCCCAATGTCATAGTTAACAAACTTCAACTTTTTCATGTTTAGTATTCGTGTAAATTATTTAAGTAATTATTATTATTCATAGTAGCCGGGCAATGTGGTTTGGGTACATAATGTCCTTGACCATGTAGTGGGGTTTAAAAATATCTACAAACCACATATTATCCCGTGGGTGTCGTAAGAAGCGACAGAGGGAAAAACTCCAGTATAAAAAAATATCCAATTATCCAATGAAATATTAATAAGCATTGGAATTTTGATGGGGCACAGCAGTAACATAATGTACTCATTAAGCACTACTCATAACAGATATACTACTTTTTAGCACCAGAAATAGACAAGGGCGCGGTATCTATCTATACCGACAATCAGACAGACAAGGAGTCCTACCACCAAGGGCGATTTCTATTCGTAAAATGTAACGAAAATAAAATATTTTGTGA